AAATACCCTTCTTTTTTTTTTTTTTTTTTAGAAATATATTTATCGTCAAAATTACAACCTGTTCCACCCTCTCTTTTCAGCTTATGCCAACATTGTTAGACACCTGTTTTATCAAGTGTACTTACCCAAACAAGGATACAAAAGCAACCTTTAAATGAGCTGTTTAGTTGACATTGTGTGATAATTTTATTGCCTGAGGGGTAAGTTTACACTTACCCCTCAGGCAAAATGGATCTTGGAGTTTTAAAATGAATAATAAAGATGAGAAAGTTGACCAATTTTCAGCAGCAATTGCATTTAACTTGTTCAAAGGTTTGACTCTTGGGCTGCAAAGAGCCACTTTCTAGAGTGAATACATAGAATATCAGTCTAGAAAGGAGCTGGTAGGGCTCAATTTTAAAGGCAGGACTAACAGATTGAAAGGAAACAGGATAACATATATTACCGAAAATGTATTTTTTTTAAGACAAGCTATTACAAGTTGTTGAAATTTGAAAGATGAATCCATCTAATTTGAGATATAATAAAGGACTTCCTTAAAACGTTGCTCCGTTTTGAAAACGGTTAACAATCTTAACTGCTATGGTTACAGAAAATCCCTTTTGCATTATGGGTATTTTTCTGACCCAAGCCTAAATTCGTGTCTCTTGTGCTGTGATTTTTTTAAAGTCTGTTTTAGGCCATATAGTCAGAGCCTTACCAGGCTGACTTACACCTGTTCAGCCTACGGCAGGCCAATAGAGCCATAATTCCAACCAGTCTCTACCTTTAAAGGTATAATTAATGGTGTAGAAAAGACTGGTTTCCCTTTGACATTAATCAGATGCAGAGCTGGCAGCAAAGTAAAATAAAAAACAATCTATTTAGAATAAAGAAAATACTTTTCAGATTTGTTTTTTAAATTTACATCTAAAAACGAAAGATTTGTAATACTGTTACAAGTATAATTATTGTAAGACGTTAAAAAAAAGGAAAACAAACGGTTCTTAACGCATGATATAGAGATTTCTATAGTTCCTGTTTGATTTTATTTCTTAACTTCACCAGAAACCTTCTTGCTTTGTTTTGTTAAGATGTGATTTGTAAAGCAAGCACATGCTCACTGTAAGACACCCTGTCTAAAGTATTCCAGTCATTTTAGAGTGGTGAATCCAAGTCTTAATCAGCAATACCACAAGATTTAAAGATGTTAACATTTTTGAATAATGGTTTCGGTCTTTCATTTTATGCAAATTTTTAAAAAGCTAAAGATTTTTGGGTTTTAAAAACGTTACAAAACTTTACATTCTCAATTTCCTGCAGGTGTCCCATAATGCACTATCTTTATCGAGTTTGAATGGGTTTACTTCCTTGTCTTCTAAATAAATAAATAAAATCTAATATATAGAGGCATTAAAAATGCATGATCAGTTAGACAAAAACAAAACAACACGTTTCACCCCTACCATCCAGCAGATGGCACTAGTTCTCTGCTTTTTGGAGAACTGATATTTTTCTTAAGGGTTTAAATTGGTTTGAATAGTTCATACAAGAAGTCTTTAAATTTGAAGTAAAAATTAGTAAATTACTTCAAGCTAGTGTTTTTATTTTTTCGCTTTTACTTTGGTTTTACTTGTGTAGTTCGGACACAGCAACACATTAGGATTCCTGGATTCTAACAGCAAATAATCTCTTAGAGCCTGTTATTTTTCATTCATGTTTGAGCCTGTTTCAATGTATTAAAATAATTATAGAAAATTGTTTCTATTTTGATTCTCCACTCTCTCATTTAGTTTTTGCTTTTACCATTTCTTACAATGCTGCTTCCTGATGGCCGCAGCAGCAAGACCAAAAAATCCACCCATTCCTTTTATTTTATTTCTGTTTCAATATAAAACCTGCTATATTGTAATTATTTGTTTCAGGTATTTCTGAGGAGTGAGTTACTGCAATGTACCTTGCTTTTTATTTCCACTTTAAACATTCCACTGTTATTACTCAATTTTAACTCTTTATTATTCTAAAAACAGAGTAGTGATTAAAAGAAGATGATTTTTTTGTAATAATAGTTAACCTATATTCACATTTGATAAATTCACTGCCAAGAAATCGAGATCTGAAGTAACATTTTCTTGAAATAAGTGCCATTTTTCTTCAAATAAGTAGGAAAGTGAGACACTTAACAATGGAAGAGCACAATTTGCATTTAAAATAAGAAATACAAACAACTGCAGTCTCTTATATCAAGTGCATAAAATCCAATCAGATTAAATGTGTCAGAAAAAAATTGTCTTTCCATTGTCTCCCGTTATGTATGTTGAAGAGTTTGTGGCTAAAGACACCCCTATGCCTCTGTGCTAACAGCCTATGTTCTCCAAACATCTACCTAAAATATGTATGGCCTCGGTCAATCTGTAAAAAAAAAAACAACAACAGAAAACAGACCAGAAAAAAAGTTGAGGCAAGGAAGACAAGTTGTTGAAATAAGAAAGATTTCTTCTCTCCATCAGGCTATTTAGAGCCAGTTGACCTCTTGGTATCTGGCTGACTGCTGTCAGTGACGCCTGTTTGCTCAAACAACTAAGAAAGATGGAAACCTCTTTGTTTTGATGTAGTTGTCAGGTCCACAGTTAGACATGACCTGCTGCTACGTCTCATCGTTCAGCTGTGTGTTGGATCAGTTGACCCTCTCAGATCTGCTTACTGCCCAAACGTTCTGCCTTTATTTATTTTAATCATTTTAACTTATTTATTTTGGCACCCAAGTTGCTGCTGATGATGATTTTTAAGGTGTCACACTTTGATCTTTTTCACTGCTCATATTTTAATAACACTAGTGTCGCTTTCTTTCCCTCCTCTAGGTGTCAGTCCACTCAAAGTGCAAATGCCTGCCCTCTCCCCCACCATGGAGGAGGGGAACATAGTAAAATGGCTGAAGAAGGAAGGTAAATGGAGCACATGTCTATAGTTCCTGACAATGAAAGAAATAATAAATGCAATTTTTTGTGATATAATCATTTTGTTTTGTTTCCTGCTAACCCTTTAAAGTTTGTGCTCCATTTTTTACTAAACATAACTAAAAGCAATATTAAGGTCTATAATCAGCATTAGTCAACAACAAGTTTAAATAGTGGGGCAGTTCTTTTATTGACTCAATGAGTTAGAGGACTGCCTGCTATTCTCTGCTTAGCAACTCTTCTTAGCCAGGTGTCTTAGCCTCGCTCTGGTTCATCTTGGAACACTGTGTACACTTTGCTCTGATTGGCTGCCCTGCTTTGTTACTATGTATTTTTTTTGCTTAAATTGAAGGGTTTACATTAATTTGCAAGATAAATAGTAAAAAGAGAGAAAGGGAATGTTTTTTTTTGTTTATTTTACTTAAACACATTCAACTTAATTGTTAAGTGTTTGTTTCATTTATTTTATTTTATTTTTTGTAATTATAGGTATTTTTAGCATACCCTTTAATTTTTATTTTGTCCAAAAGTATAAAGATTTTATTTCGACTGCTTTCTGGTGTAGCTTAAGGGTCCAGGCTTCTTGTTGAATCTTTAATACTGAAAGTCAAACCAAACCTCATGGGTCATTGGTTGTTAATTGGTTGCATAAATCCAATATTGTTTATTCTCTGGGGGTCTCTAATCCTTACTCCTTGGGATTTTTAGCTCGGTTCCTGATACTCCCATCCATTCTTCATTTCAAACATACTGAAAGCAAAGCTAATGACCAAAGGTATATGTATGTATAGTTTTTCTACCATTCTCCTGGAAAGATGTCAAAACATCTTCAAAAAACTGCCTTCCAATTTAAGCCTGTGTTTTGGAGTTTATTAAAGTTAAGCAGAGATCTTCGATTACACCTGCTGTATCTCCCAGTAGCACATTGTTTCTTAATACATAATCTTAGTGTTGTAGTCAAGACCAACCAAGACTAATGCCCGGGTATACACTGTACGTTTTTCTTTTTGCCCTTTTTGGGCCGATTTCCAGTCGTGCGAGAATTCTTTGGATCGGTGCGAGTTTCAGCCTCATCGTGCGTCCTGCGTCGTGTAGTATACAGGGGATAACAAGGGACAATCAGCCTCTCATGACCACCTCACGATCAGGAATCGTAAGTTCGGAAGAAAATCAAACATGTTTGAAATTTAGTCAGCCCTCATGAGGTTTTTGTGAGCAAACCCTGCTGTTGAAGCAGAGCTACAAGCTTCTACGAGCCGATTTATCAGAACCTAAAGCACTGTGCATGTGCAAACAAAGGAGTTCTTGTTCTATTCCAGATTGAAGAGTCAGACCAGCGCCATCTCTCGGTGCTCAGTCCGACATGTGGTTTTTAGGCGTGCAGTGTGAGCAGGTAGATTGCATCCGAGCATTTGGGGCCGAATAGTATAAGGACATACATCGAGAGCTGTGAACTTTTGAACCCTTTATGGTCTTACAGTTTGAGCTCTAGCTGAATACAACAATTGAATATATTGCACAGTGTATGCCCGGCTTAAGGGGGACCGAGACAAGGCCAAGACCATAAAAGGTCTTTGTTGGTGTCTTGACTACAACACTATATAATCCTATGTATTCTATATTCAAAGCAATGCAGACATTTCCTGTTATTATCTTTAATACATTTATTTTATTTTTATTTCAAATCTTCTAGTGTGTTCTTAGTGTAAGCAGACCTCTTGTTAAGATCAATTGGAAATGCCAACAGTAGTTATTATGCATTTATTCCAGTCACAGCTCAAGTGATTCATCTGCACTTTAGCTTAGCTCAGAACCTTTTTAATAATGAAGATGATGTTTCATCATTGGCTGGGGGAATGATAAATGAGTATTAATGTGTCTCCTATAAGTTCTCAGATGTGGTTCTTTGTTTTGACAGGTGAGGCTGTGGCAGCAGGTGATGCCCTGTGTGAAATAGAGACAGACAAGGCAGTGGTTACTATGGAATCCAATGATGATGGTGTTTTGGCAAAAATCATGGTAAGAGATGTAACTTATGAGTAACTTTGTTCTGGAGTGTATTCATATTCACATAGGCTACAGATCTGTTATCCTATTGGGGATCCTTCCTTGGATATGCTAATAGCAACTCATGTTTAATCTGCATTCCCTTTGTAGAGACAGCAGAAACACTGACAAGTTAAATTCATTGACAAATGTTTTTCTCCGTCCCACCAGTGTGTTTATTAATTGTTTAAAATTTTAACAAGCTGCCAGAGATGGAGAAATCATCTGTCATTCAGCAGGATTCCACCACTAGAGAGCTTGCTTTACAAAAGAAAGTTCTCATACATGTGTAGAGGCAAATGTTGCTGCTTCATGTCCTTTAATCTGAATTTCTACCTCCCATGTATTTTGGACTCCTCCTCATTCTGTTTTAAATGAATCAGCTTCAATTAAATATTTTACAACCAATCTTCACCACAAATGTGTATCCCGCATTTTCCCATTAGTGCTTTTCCATTGTGTCTATTGCTTTATACTTCTTTCTCAAATAGAAATGGCTGTGCTATGTCTTTTTTTCTTATCACATCACTGGCTACTATTCTCTTCCATGTCTTTGCTACACTGGGGATAAGATAGTTTCCATAGCAACCACCCAAGAATTGGGGGTAGGGGCTTTAGCTGGCAAAGAAAGATGGTCCTCATTCGACGAGCCCCAAGCTGTTGTACTTGTTGTGAGACTGTGTGTGTATCTGTGTGTTTAACTGCAGACCTTGGCAGGATTTTACAGATTTTAGAACGTTTCCAACGTCCTGTTTTGAATCAAATCTCATTAGCCTTTGGTAGTGTAGCTCCACCAGGCACCCAAAGGGTTCCTAATTTAAAGGCTAATATGATAATTTGCCCCTGACAGGTGTCAGTAGACATAGAAATTGACCTCCAGAAGGACTTTTTTAATGAGGGTCAAGCAGCATTAGTGCTGTCTGATAGAGAACAAGTAAGAATATTTCACGCTGAAATAATACCTGTTAGAGCTAATAAATGAACGTTGATGAGTCACTGTCTACTCCACTCTCAATGGAAAGAAAATTATGAAAATCTGAAACGCAGCACATGGTATTATAAGCCAGTGACTTAAAAACATTACATTTTTTTACATGTACTTATTACCAACCCTCTGATATATTGTATTAGTCTGTGACTGGATTGAATTAATAAAAACTATTGCTTGTTGATCTCTACATTTTACTGTCTCTCTGACAACAACTTTTGCTTTTCTGTTGGGAAACCAATTATTATCAAAACAGTTCTGGTTGCTGAGATGAATTTAACTGATGTTGCGTGTTATTCTGTCTGGCTTTGATACTTTATGTAATAGAAATTACACTGAAATGTGACAGCATCACTGCTAAGGGGAAAGGAGTCATACTCGTGTATCTGTCATGCTTTATTGATCAGAGCCAGATGTTCTCATTTCCTAAACACAGTCCCTCGCGAATCTCTACATATATCGCTCATATTCAAGTCTAGTAAAAATCTATCAATCTCTTTTAGAGAAAGCAAAAGTACAATGCAGAAATGTGCTCAAAAGCTTAGGAGCTTTTATATGAGCCTGATATGCTGAACCTAATTGGACTTCCCAGCCTTGCTTATATTACCGGTCGAATGTGACACTTAAAGATTTAGTCCGGACTAAACCTGTTGCTATTCAGATATATGCTAGAAGTTTTGTTTCTGAATCATGATCATTTGACATTAAGTTGGTTAAATATCTCCACATAGCAGAATTATTGAGGATCACAGAGATATGCATGAATCCTACAAAATACCACCTTGTGCTTAATTTTGATTATGTCAATAGAGCAAAGTTAAAAGATTTTAACACACAGAAAGCCATAAATCAGTGGATCTCAAAGAGGATGGCACAGTGTAATTGCAAGGAGTGTTTTAAAAATGAATTGAATAAATTGTTTTTTTATACATAATTTATTTACTGAAAGTAGAATAAACAGTTAAACTTAAAATAATTACACTTTAAATGTGGTAGTTGAGAGATATAAATGAGATTGTCGTTTATTTTATGGCAATATTTAACTTGACTGCTGTTGCCTTTTCTTTGTTGGGGTGTGGTTAGAAATTTATTTTTTTTTTTGTTGTTGTCTGAAACAGTAAAGCTGTTTTTCATCTGCAGTTTTATGCTTTGGATAAACTGGTATCAAGGGCACTAATATCTTCTGGTCCAACGTTAACAAACATGAGCTAAACTCAGCTTTTCTCTCAAGCATTCTGAATATGGAGAGACTTCATCTCACACGGCCGCTCTCATGGCAGCCGGACCACCACTGTATTCTGTAATACTGGTTTAATTGTGTCTACACAAACATTTTGTCTGCTAATATAAGCATCAACATGAAAATAAAAGCACAAATGTACCTTTATTTATTTGAAAATCAATTCAAGGTGCCAGCGGGCTCCTATGAGGGCCACATCGAGGCAGCAGCAGATTAGACGAGCGTTAATAAACCCGGTGTTTTGCTCAGCTGGAGTTTTTGGAAAGTTCTAAGAAGATCTTCAAAATGCTAAATTAAGAAATGGGAAGACACAGACATTTCAGCAGGCATTTTTTTTTAAAACAGTGCATTAAGTATCTGTGGTGGGAAAGGTATTTCATCTGGTTGGAAAAATCCTTCTGAGACCTCTTTGATTGATCTCCATGGAAATGTACAGAGCTCTGTGTTTCCCAAAGAGGCCCTTATTCTTACCCTCATCTATCACCACCTGCTTCTCGAGACAGGTGTGGAAAAACCAGACAGACTACACACATGCAAATGTGCATACGTGCAAAAAGCAGTTTTGGGTGACACTTTGTATTTACACAGGGAAAAAAAATCTAATTTTTAGAGTCGTACACTAGATCTGTTCACCTATTATATTAAAGCTTTATTAAACCTAATTTTGGTTATTAACAAAAAACTGAGCTTAATATTTGCTGGTGACTGTAGAAGAATTGATTGACTGATTGACACAGTTACTAAGAAAGGAGGATACTTCCGCTGTATTTGACCAATAAAGCCTCAGCATCTTTAAAATCAAGATTGACTTCTAAAAAACAAATTTGTTTTCAACCTCAAGAATAATTTAATAATTTTAGTCATTAAATATAAAAAAATGTATGTATCTAAAGGAGATTTAGTGTTAAATTTACAAAAATAGTTACTTATTGTGGAAAAAACATTAATGTTTATGATGTATTTATAAGGCTTCTTTGGATATTGGGAGTTTCTGAGGTTGAAACGTTTGTGAGAGTATTATAACCTTCTTTACCAGGACAGTTTGCAATTCTAACATCAAGCTTGTCTGTTTTTTTTTTTTGTTTTGTTTTTTTTTTGTCTGTCTATTTTGGATTGTGCACTGTCTATGCTGAGCTTCACACTAAATAAATGTCAAAAGTAAGGATTCCCCAATTAAATATTGAAATCAGTTCGATATCAGCCAAGAATGGAACATCAGATTATGTTGGCCTATATCTAAATTCTCTGATATTAGCATGCTGATAAAAACAGTTTATGGTCATTTTAAGTTTCTATCCAACAGGGCTTGTGTTCCACACACAGAGCCACTGTGATCACAACAGCATCTGAGTTCAAAACTTGTTTTTTTCTTCTAATTTATTATTTATTTAACTCAGTCAACTTCTACTGGCTGTCTGTCAGGGTCACAGGGGGTCCTGATCTCCAGCTGTCTCTGGGCAAAGGATGGGCTACACCCTAGAAGTCCGCCAGTCCATCACAGGTTCAACATAGACGTATAACCACACACCTGACAGCAATTTGGAGAAACCAAGCGGCCTAACGGTCCTGTTTGGACTATGGGAGGAAGCCGGAGTGAACATTCTTAACGCAGGGCATCAGTGCTGCACACTGCACAACCTATTTATTCAATAGATTCTAGAATATTCTTATGTCTATACTTAAAGTTTATGTAACACATTGGTTAACAATAAAAGGGTCAGTTGTTTTCATACCTATTGTTATTGACCATTGTTGATCTATTGAAATGGTTAATAATCGAAGCTGCAACATTGTACTGGAAATTAATATATATATATATCTATATCTATATATATATATATATATAGATATAGATATATATATAGATATATATATAGATATATATATATATATAGTTAGATAGATAGATATATAGATAGATATATCTATATATAGCTTTGCATTCTATTATGTAGAGCAGTGCTGAATGGGACTCAGGCATACAGATTTATTTAAAGCTCCATCCATATTTATCTCTGTATCTTTGCTGCAGGACAGCCGCGTCATCTTAAAAGCACAAAAGTAGGGTAGTCGAGGCAAAACCTTGTGGCTCAGGTGTTCTCACTCTTTTGTTATTTCCAGTTTGGTGGGTTGATCATTGGAGTTCTGCTTTTCGATTTCACCAGCTTGCACGGACAGAGAGCACATTACCTGTTTAAATGCTACTTCAGTCATATTTTCCCCATTTTTTTTCTGTTTTTAAATTCTCATTATAATCTTTTTTTTACCAGTTTGATGAAACAGCACAAAGTGTTTCCTCACCTCTTCTTTTGTTTCTGTATTCATTTTTAACTAACTGTGACAAGCATCCTTGTATAAAGTGATAAAGTGCAGCCTGCTGAAGGCTCTGTTGTGCCCAGTCTTCAATTATATGGATCTATATTTGAGAAACAACACCCCGCATAGCTTAGGGAGATAAACAAAAGGCTTGTGTTTGATTTGGTTTACTAAGTAACAAGATAATCAATGGCTAACATCATAGAGAACCATAGCAACACTGCATTTTAAAAGAAGTCTGTTGTGCTGCAGTGTGGTTTTTCTCCAGGATCATACAGTTAAGTTATGAAATTGGAAAGAGGATGAAAGAGGTTCCTCATTAATGGTTCTCAAACAGTTTAGTCAGTAAGAAGAGATTTCAACTGACTTCAGAGCTCAGAAATAGCTTCCTTTTTTTTTAGCTTATGTAATTTTCTACAAGTTTGCACAAGAGTCCTTTTACTTTTTTGTTCCCCTTATGATTGCAATTGTTGAGTGATAGAATCTGTTTCCAATGATTTTCTGAAGTGGCTTGCTTGCCCTCTTTGCAGATGGAGGAGGGCAGTCGTAACGTGCGCCTTGGCACTCTCATTGCCCTAATGGTAGAAGAAGGGCAGGACTGGAAGCAGGTTGAGATCCCTCCTCCAGATGTTGCATCACCATCTGTCTCAGACACTAGCAATGCCTCAGTGATGACCCCTCCTTCTCCATCTCCAAGCTCTCTACCAAAACCAGTCCCATCAGAGCCGTGAGTCGTACATTTTGGTCTCTTGATCCATACAAATTAAATCTGTCTAGTGTAACTTAAAGCTTGTTTAGATAGTATGTTAACAATTGCAGTCAGACTTGTATTGATTAATGTATATTGATTCAAATTATTATTAGAATAATTAAATGGTGATGTTAAAATTCTGTGAATAGTAGAAGAGCTTCAGTTTTGTACAGCAGACCAGATTTTGGTTATAGATGTGTGATAAGTTCCTAAAATAATATGTTCAACACTGTGAAGCCACTAATTACATTACATTATTACATTTATATCATGCTGCAAGTTTCAAGGCTGCCTCTAAACAAGATGAGGTTTTCTATTACACTAGCCAGTCATTGCCTTCTAGTTCATGTGCAGTTTAAAGCTGAAAAGGTCACTTTCTCTGGAAACCCATTCTGATTGGAATCAAAACTAATAATTAGATGGTATGGGTGCTTTTTAGAAGTTTATTTTCCTCTTTACGGAATTCAGAGGCAAGGTCTTTTTATTAGAATATAGCCACACTCAACCTGAAACACAACCTGTCCTGTGTGCTATTCCTCCTTATCATTTTCATATTGCCTTATGAACCTTAAGTCTGGTTATAGTAAGTTTAAAAGCTTGCCTTTGAATTCCTTACTGTGTGTTTATTTTTAAGCCATGTGGCTTTTTTACAGCTACATTTTTAACATAATTTACGACACTTTCTTTCAAACACAGGTTGCGTTTGAGTCCAGCAGCGAGACACATTTTGGCGTCCCATGGTATCGACCCAAAGTTGGCTACACCCACAGGGCCAAGGGGACTGATCACTAAAGAGTGAGTGGCTCATTAGTTTCACATCAGAGCTAACTAAATGTAAGCTTTGCTTTGTTTCACTTGGGATCCAACATAATCGATGTACAAAGTTCTAATGTGTAGAAGCAGACTTAGATCAGTACTTTTAAATGCTGGAGCATTTCTTCTGTTTTTTAATACTGATATATATGTAGCAGCTACTAGTCTGTCTCATGTTATCTCACAACAGATGTAATGCTTTTGGTGCGGGTGTCTCCTGGCCAGGGCATGTCTGGCTTTAGCCCAAAATAATTTCTTTGGGTGTTGTCAGTTTGTAGTTTGCAGCACAACTGCAAGCTTACTACACTACACTACACAAAGACATAGAAAACACAGCCATTTACAATTTTTTCTTCAGTTTTTCAAAGCTTCATCATGCTGCCCAAGAGCGACAGTCAATTGTTTTCAGGAGTTTTCCCACAATCTGTTGATAGTTGTGATATTTATGGGTTAAATCACAAGATGTCTATAGATGTATACATCTGCGAACCCCCAGCAGTCACAGCTATTGCTTTTTCCTTGTGGATCTTTCCACATAGTTCTACATCTTCCTAGGTCCTCAGTGCGGAAATTCTGTCCACATTGATGCTGCACACAGGGGCGTGGAAGCCCAAAGTAACGTAATATGGCCCCATGGACACATTGAGCCTAGACCAAGCTTTAACGTTAATAAGAAAATCTATCATACATCCCTTAATTATACTGATGTTAGAGATCTTGTTTTCAGTGTAAGGGTTATTCTTAAAAACAGATACATTTTGCTGTACAAATTGCGGAATATGGCTTTAAACAAGGTGCCACAATGCTCTAGAAAACAAAAAGAAAGACTTTTTATAAGCTAGAATCTCCCAGATTGCCATTAAGGGTGTGGGAATCAGCCCAAGATTTTCCCAGACTCAGAAACTAACACTGGTTTTTACCATTGATCTATTAGTGTCTTCTCTTTTTTTGTAATGGTTCATCTCTCTACAAAGATTTTGTGAAATTATTTTTAGAATTATTTTTCTTTGCAGCTTCTGATTTTTACCAAGCATAATTTAAATGCTCACATGCTGTAGTACAAATTTCCCTACCACTTTGGGCAGTATGGGAACAGCAAAGGGCCACAGAACTAAACTCAAAGCAAGACCAAAGGGGTAAAGACATCAGAGCCTCCGTAAGTTTGAGGTTTTTGTTTGTTCAGTTTTCTAGTTGATCTCCTTCGATATCCATAAAGGCCTTGTAAACAGAAAGAATTTAAGAACATAAGCTGAAAGACGGTTGGTTAATATCTTTAGTCTTCTAGTCCAGTTCTAAACTAGTTTCACTGAACAAGCTTTGAACACACACACATTGTAATGGCTACCTGCCATCACTTGAGACCTATCTGAATGCTCTTGCTGCTCTCCAAACAGCCTGCTGGGGAATCTCATTACGGAACTTCTGTTGCTATAGCGACCCAGTCTCAAGGATTCATGGTGACCATGGAAACATGGACAGTATGTTCTTAGATGAATGTGTCTGTCTTTGTTCAGAGGAATGCAACTATTTTTTTTTTAAATGAGCTTGAACGATTGGAAAAAAAGTTCTGAAAAATGTAAACAATAACAATAAGCCTTGTTATTAAAAAAAACAAAACTAAAGGTGTCTTTCATTTTAGAAGCAAAAATTTTAAATGTCAATCATTTTCTTCATTTGAGTTCATGAACCCCATATAATAAAAATGACAAATCATTATTTCCATATCTGATTTTCTGCTGTTTTAGCTTCAAAACCATTTAATTTTATTAAATACTTCTCTTCCTTAATTCCATCTTCAGGTTAAAGTAAATCAGCAGTTCTTTCCAGATACATATTGTCCACAGCGACATTGGAATTATGGCATACTTTTGATTTATTATGCATCACTCCTCATTCCAGTTGGACAGTTACTTTTTGACTTGTTAAGCAAATAATGGAAAGAGGATTTTCAGTTTTTTTTTTATATATTCCGGAGTGTTAACTGCACAGTTTTTGTGGCTAAATCAGTAAATTCGTGTGACTCTTTGATAACAAACTAAAAGACTAGATAACTGTCCTTTTTACACGTGAACCAAAAGGCAAATTAATTATTTTGTCTGAGTAACTTTGCAAAATAGAATAAAGAATTAAATCAAGTAAAATACGTAGTTTCATCATTTCTCCTGCTTGTTCTGTGGGGCCATTGGAAGATATTGTCTCTCTGCCCTCTTCTTTGTTTTGCGAATTTTTGTATGTGAGAGATGCCTTGTTTCCCTTTTAATATTCAAGTCACCTTCTCTTGCTCTTTCAGAAGTTATTTTGCCTTGGCTGTTTGTAAGAGTGCAACTGCAATAAAGAGATCAGCGGTGTTGTTATCAACCTGGTTGGATCTTGTTGGAGAGCACTTTTTTTGTTTAATTCCTAAACTGATTATCAAGACGACATTTTGGAAATACTCTAGGATTTCTAGGCTGCCTCCAAAGACAAATCTATTATGGAAAGGGAGAAGCGTGGAAAGACCCGGAGAGACTAAAAATGGACCTACACAATGTTGAACAAAAGTGAGACATGAATCCCAAGCAGTCCTAGCAGCACGGTAAAAGCATGAGCAGCTGGTCCAAACAAAAGATTGCCTACATTTGGGCTGGTGGACAACAGTGCAGTGAACTGGAACCAGGGAGTTTCAAACACCTGATCCTTGCCCTGATCAGTGTTTTTACGAACACAAATAAAAGGAAAGGATGAAAGAACAGCTTTAAGGCAGATTTCCTTGGTAGAAAAAAAATATGGTAATTTTTGCATCGCTTATGGCTCGATGTTTATTAGCTGTTTTATCAAAAACTCAGTTTTAGTCAAGTGGTTATAGTAAAGTAAATCAATGTTTTTCATTTTAGTTTGAGTAATGTATAAAAGATGCATGTCACAATTAAAATAAAGCCTCGGATAACAAGATATTTCTCTCAAAAAAAGATCTTTAACTTGATTTAAAAATCTTTCATCCCTGCTGTAATTAACCATTGCATGTTATTAGAGTTGCCTCTAGCAAGGGTAACAAAACCAAGGTTTTGAATTAGGTAGTCCCTTAGTGACGCTGACACCTGATCCTACCACACCTGTTACGGATGGCTGTGAGCATGACATGATTCTCATGGCACTTATCTACTAACCGATGACCTAGAGTTACCTTTCTCAAAGGCAGACACAAACAAAACCAGTTACAACAAAAATGTTCTGCTAAGTCAGCTTGGTGGAAAAAGATAAACCTCTGAAAACACTAGAATTAATATTTAAAATTGTGAAAGATTAATGAGATTTTTTAAAATATTTTCTTTACCTTTCTATCCATTTATAAATGTATTTTCCAGATACATAGAATATTTCCCTCCCTTGTTTTTCAGGCCTTATTTGAATTTGATGTATTGATAGAAGTCATTTGCTGAATTCATTTGTTCATGCTTCCTTTTTTATATTAATAACTTTACTTGCTGTATGCATTTGTCTACATTTCATTTTGCTATTTTCTATATCAATAGAGATGTGCTGAACCTTTTGAAGAAGTCCCCGGCCCCCGAAGCAGCTCCTGTGACCACAGCAGCACCAATTCCTACCCCAAGTCCTGTACCCACCCCAGCAGCCTCTCTTCCACTTCCAGGCACCCGGCCCAACATCCCTCCACTATCTGTACCTGGAAAACCAGGAGCACCAGTGAGTATCTTTTTTTACTTTAAGAAATAATCAATATGTTTTTTTTTTCTTTCATTTGGATAATACTTCACTGTTACAAAAGCCGTTCACTGCATTTACACATCTATTCCCTTTTAAATTTTTCCCTTATCCTTACCTTTATCCAAAATATATCCTTGTCTTTATTCATCCCCCAATTCCCTCTGATTGTCTTCTTCAGGGAACGTTCACTGAGATCCAAGCCACAAATATCCGTCGAGTGATTGCTCAAAGGCTGACAGAGTCAAAGACTACGATCCCGCATGCATATGCTTCCATAGACTGTGACATGGCTGCTGTCATGAGGCTCCGCAAAGAGCTTGCCAAAGGTAAAAACTCCCACAACTTGAAGTGAACATGTCTGAAATAGTTTTTGCAGTGACAAATGTTTCCATCCTTGAAGTAAATATCTCGTAGTAAATTCCCTTGGGTTCATTTTCTGGAAGGGGAAGGGGGCATTTCCGACTTTTCAGATGACTGCTCATTCATGCATTCAGAAAACCATTTCAAACATGATGGTTATGTTTGTCTGGTTCTGAAAATGGCCTCTTTTGTCTCAATAAACTAATTTCTGTGAACCCTGCTTTAAAAAATCAAGGAAAATTTCAGATTCCTGTTTAATTTATTGAAACAAAATGATTAAATCAAGACTGTCTCAATCCACTCCATGGTCTCAGTCCCAATCATTGTATTTTATAATGCTTTACATGAATGCTTGTAATCAAAAATCAAGTCCTGACACCTGATCAATGCAGTTTATTTATATTGACAAATTGCTCATGGTGTTACTATTTACTTCTGCCATCAAGCTCTTTTTGGCATTTATTCCACTTGAATAAGGTTAGTGTTTATTTATATTGAACAGTGAAGGCTCTATAAGAGGTTACATTCTTGCTTATTTCTCACCAAGGAAGATGCTTTAGCAATTCCTCACCCTGCTACGATATTTCACCTTGAGGTAATTTAGATGAAAAGTTCAACATTTTGTATTTTCTTGAATCCATGGCAGTAGACGGGAACCCCAAATCAAAAGTTTGGAAGCTTCTCAATGCTTACACCAACACCATTTAGGTTTAAATGAAGGCAGATGTTGAAACAAAGTTTGCAGGTCCCCTCTGACTGCAGATACTTTGTTTTATGAAGCAGAGACATCAGCCAGCATGGCTACCTCTAAAATAAGGGGCGAGGGTGTAGATCTGCTTCATTTCCTCATTCTTTAATAAACTCCTTCTTCGGAAAAGACTCCAGTATGGCACCCGCATGCAGCTGGCTCGCCATTTCTACTGAGTTTTATGTAGGGTAGGGGGCAGCTCATGCAGGTGGAGACGACTTGACTCTATTATGAGTTAATTTGAACGAATAGATTTGCTGTCTTCAGCCACAACTCAGACTTCAAACCATTACATCTTCAACTCTTCCCTCTACACATTTAGACTGAATCCCAAACCGCTCCTTAACCACTAACACTTAACTATCAAGTTAATAAAATCTCCCTCGCAGCTGTGGAAGGCGCTTTGATTGAAGGTGGCGGGTATAAACGGGAATGAGATGGCTTCTTCCCTCCAATGGAAAAGGAAAGCAGTCGTTGCTAAGGCAACACAGTGACGCCACGAGTGCGTGGCTGTAGGCCTGCGGCACAGTTATAAAATCTATTTGCGCCTTTCTAAAAAAAAAAAAAAAAACTCAGACAAAATTATTTCAAAGAGGACCTTTCTGTTTGGAATTATTTACGTTTTTTTCTTATACCTAACTTGAGATTGTTCTCTCAGTGTGACGAACATGCAGCGAATCGGTGGAGCTTGCATTTAAATGCATGTGTTTCCTCCGCTATTATTACGCCAGCATTACACCTGCTGCCAAATTCCAGCGAGCAGGCACTGATGCAGACTCACTATTTAAGGGGCTAACAGTCAACTCACCCTACCCACTTTGTGGTTTGGAACGGCACTCAATTTGGCTGACTCTCCTCGGTAACATGCAAACGGAGGGTTAATGCTCAGGAATAGTCGTTTGCGACCAGTTTGGGATTGGGCCCTAGTGCCTTTCTGCAAGACTCTCCCAGAAGTTCTTAGCAGAAACCAAAAATAATGCCCCCCCCCCTTAGTTCTAGATGGAAAACTGTTATAGCGCTAGTTTAAATCACGTCATCTTGGCAAGGCAAAAATATTTATATAGCAAATTTCAGTGGCAAGAAAAGTTAATCCTTCCCCTCTTTTTTTCTTATTTATAAGTGAAAAAGAAATAGAAAAAAAAGAGTATGCTAAGATATTCCCTTTCTATTAAGATATGAATTTCTGTTAACCCAATTTGCTGTAAATTATATTTCAGTGCTGTCATAACATGTGTGTATATAAACCTAGAGAAGGTGTTTCCACAGCCTTATGAACTTTGTGCTTTACCTTCAAAGTATCAAATCTGCTCTATTTATCATTTTTAGGGTGGTTAGAAACATATATGTATATGTATGTATATATATTATAATAAAATAGAGTACTGACTGTATCAGAGATATATAAAAGCAAGATATGCGGAGACATACAGATGGTATTTTAGTAATAGTACAATAATTTTGTCTTCCCTAGCTTAAAGTTTGAATGTAATACTTTTCAACATTCATAACACTCTATCCTGCAGCTCTGCTTAACAATGTTGACAAACAGTTGCACCTTGTGTAACAGATATCAGGATGTGACTGTACAAAGGGAAGGTTGTTAATGGAGGTTGACAAAAAAGGGAACTTTTCAACTGATGTCACATCTCTTCGAAATTGGTGTTTTCATATTTTGAGTCATATTTTACAAACCTACTTTGACCGGTTTTACAGTAATGTGGAAACGGTAAAAGTATTTTTTTTTCTTTTTAAACGCTTAGTAATGGGCTACATTTAGCTGCACTGTGTGCAGTTTCAAACAGTAAAGCTCTATGGGTGTGATTTGTAAGGGGGAGGAAATGGGATGCTCATTCCATACCTATTAGCAAGGCTGTGTGTACTGAGGGATTCTCTGGCCCCGGTTGTTTTTGTGGCCCCTTATTGTTCAGGAGCAGAGTGATTTCACGGTTAGCTCATTAATCATCCAGCTCACAGCATTCATAACTGAATGATGGGGCACTTTTAGACACTCGTCTGGGTGGGCAGACACTTGCCAGCCCAAACCCATCTGCCCTTCTGATGTCTAACACACAAAAAAGGAGAGAGTTCTATTGCCTTGGCTTTAAATAAAGACAGATGTCTTATCTATAGTAAACATACTTTCCATCACATGAACTGTCAATAATGAAAGATAAAGGCATTTTTCTGTGCTATTATTTTATTTGTATTGTTTTAGAAATGCATTTATCAGTAAGCTTCTTTGTGTTTCTGGCATTTCTGCTTTTTTGGACCACCTTCCTGGCACACTGGCACATTTTATATGCTGTGTTTGACTGTGTTTGAGAGCTTAAATTAGGCTTAAAGGATATTTTTTTCCTTTGTCTTTTCAGATCAGATTAAAGTGTCCGTTAATGATTTCATTATCAAGGCAGCTGCCGTTGCACTTAAAGTAAGTATTCCACCTATTTTTCTGATTTCCTGTAAATTTGCTTTTTAGCCCATATTTTAATGTACATTCATCTTTTTTTTTTTTTTTTTTTTGCTGTGTGTATTGGAGTTTGCATAACACTGTCAACAAAGTAGGATATTCTGCTTTTAGACCAGAAGTTTTAAGCTCTTTTTATTCATTTTTATTCCAAACCAGTTATTTCTAGAAAAATGCTAAATCCAATAATTTCTTATTGTGGCATTTGAATTAATGTTTCTGGTATTTCATTTTTGTAAATGTCGTTTGGAGCATAACTATGTGAACTGTAAATCGGAGCACCACCCTCTACAGCTCGCCTTTTTCTGTTTCATCTGTCATTTCTTTCCATAGATTTTTTTGTTAGAATTGTTTTTTTTCTACAAAATTCCTTCATTTGGGAATGAAAGAATTTTTCTCTTCAAGGTATTGATTTTATATCATGCACAGCTGTACATTCTGATGATGCATACCTGTCATGCTGTGTATGTATCATCATGCATCATTGTCATGTCCTGACAAAAGTGACATCATATGCAGAAGGAGTCCTTCATTGGACATCAGTTTAATTTGAACAGATTGCATTTCTGAGGTTAAAAATACATTTGGAACAGTTTTTGCACATTTCACCCTAGTTGACATCAATGATTTCACATTCAAGATGACAGCAGTTAATATACATCTTTGAAATAGGGTGAAAACAGATGCCTGAATACATAGCAGATACAATAAAGTTGCTGTAGCTCACAACATGTACTCAGTTTGCTGAGATATTTCTGTGAGGTATAAGCATATTGTTCCACAGCCATACTTGTAAATGAATGTTTCCACATCCTTTGCCATACACCGAGTTCTAGACGATCCTAATATTTTGATGTCCAGTTAAATTTTAAGGAAGTTTTGCATATGCTGCCAAATAAACCGCCCGATTAATCTGATGAGAGCTTGGGCAAATTGCAACGGAGGATGTCCAGAAATGTCTGGTGCTGTGATCTTTGTAATTGATCTCTTCTGCTCTGTGGTTTGTGGATTGGGCCTACTTCCCAGCTTTGCTATTAAATCTGATTTCCAAAATACACAGATTGCAGGAGTTTAAGGAGTTTAGAAGCAGAGGCGAACTTAATTTATGTTGGGTTTTTTTGTGGAGGCATTTCTAAGCTCTGTATATATAGTCTTAGTTGTTCTGTTAAGGAAAGCCTCTAGTCTAAAAATCCCGTTAAGGAAAGCCTCTAGTCAAAATATAATGTTGATATAATGTATTTTCTAATTCCTTAGTTTGTTGTATTTGATTGCTCTCCTGTTTTCCATTGAAACAGTTACGTCAAGTCTTATTTATTCCCCAGGAAATGCCAGAAGTAAATGTGACCTGGTCTGATGATGGACCTCACCCACTAGATTCCATCCATATTTCAGTGGCAGTGGCTACTGACAGAGGCCTCATCACACCAATCATAAAGAATGCTGCTAACAAAGGAGTCCAGGAGATCTCAGCCACTACTAAGGTGTGGAAAAGGTTTATTAAAAGCAAGAATAGAAAAGAAAAAAATTTTTTCAAATGTAAAATTCTGTAAAGGTCTGTTCAATGGATAAGTTGAGGGTATGGTTAAAGTTAATTGTGTGCGAATATTTACAGATTGAACTTGATAACCTGTATTAGTTGGTTAATTTATTAATCGGGGACACCATAATACCTCTACACACCTGTATGTGTGGATGGATGCAGCAATTAAAATCATATTATCAGATTCTGCACAATTCTAATTCTAACTCAGACCAATTGTAAAAGCGAGTCGGTCCATAGAGATTACATTTGCAATGCTGGTAGAAATAAATATTACACCTGTCCTTTTTTTATTAATTTAAACAGGGATAGCGTAAATTAATTCTACATTAATTCACTCTATCTAAGCAATTAATTTTCAGTTATGGGAACATGTTTTATCTCAATATTCAGTTTTCCTCAACTGAAAGATTGTCAAATTTTGACATGCTGTCAATTCTGTTAGTGAAATATTCCACTAAAAGCCAGACATGAGAAATGGAGAAAGCGGAGAAAAAAAAAATTAAAATAAAATAAATATATATATATCTAACTAATTTTGTGGTTATGAGATGATAGTTTTACTACAGCGTACCACACTACTTAATACACAATGAAATGGGTTAATTGGTACATATCTATCTACGGGTGAGAGGAGGGGTACACCCTGGACAGGTCACCAGTTCATCGCAGGGCAAAAAAAGAGACAAACAGAACAGACAACCATTCACGCACACACTCATCCCTAAAGCGGGGCTTACACTGTGCAATTTTTTTTTTTGCTCTTTTCGGGGCAAGTTTTCAGTCATGCGAGAATTTTCCGATAAGGCTGATCCTGCGTCGTGTAGTGTACAGGGGGTAACGAGGGACGATCAGCATCTCACGACCACCTCCCGATCAGGAATCGTGAGTTCAGGAGAAAATCAGCCAATTAACCTAACAGCCATGTTTTTGGACTGTGGGAGGAAGTTGGAGTACTCTTAGAGAACACATGCATGTACAGGAAGAACATGCAAACTCCATGCAAAAAGACCATGAGCCGGGAATCAAACCCAGAACATCTTGCAGCAAGGCAGCAGTGCTAGCAGGAGCCAAGGTTGTTGTCCTTCCTTGATAATTGTTAAAAAGAGATTTTGAAGAAATGTTTTGGTACCTGAACCTTTACATAAGTTACAAAAAACTTTTTTCACATAAAAAGGTCAAACTTATGCTGAAATCTTCCACTTTATTGACCACAAGTTTGTTTAAATTCACAACACCTAAGGATTGGCAAAAGCATTAAAAGATTCATATATACCAAAGAGTATTAGAGGGATTTACCGTGATATATTCTTTCTCAGTTTAAAGTCTATTATTAAACATTACTGTGTACTATTTGACAACTGTTTTTAAAATACTACCCCATCTCTTCTAAATCTAAATAACATTCATTTCTGTAAAACTGATGAAAAAAAAACATTCCAGCAGAAACTGAGTTCACTTTGAAAAACCGTGGGCTGATTAGCTCGTAGCAGATGAAAGCCTACTCACATTTTGATTGAAAATGTTTTATGTATTTCTACCTCATACCAGACAAAACAGTTAACAGAAAGCTTCTGTTTTCTCTGTTTTTATTGCCAGTGAAAATGAGGGGGAAAACCCCCGGTGTTTAGCAGGTGACACTCGTGTTTAGATCTTAGTCTACTTGACAGCAGTGGTTGTGAAATATAGCCAAATAGCTGCTGTCTAGATCTGATATGGATTAAACAATAAAGCCAAACGTTTCGTGCAAACAGTGGCAACAGCTGTTTGGCTTATGTTGTTTTGTATTATCATGCATTTTGTTATCAGCTGTGTGGCAAAGAAAACTTCTCTGTTGCTTTGTGTGAGCTGAAGAAGGTGTAAAATGCAGTGTATTCGCCTAGATTTTCGAAAAGTAATTTTTTCTAATAATAATGAAAATGTAATTTTGTGAATGTAACTTCATGTAAACTTTATTATCCCCAAAAGGCAATTCATGGTGCACAAAGCAGGGAAAAAACTGACACACACACGTTGTGCCTCGCTATCCTTGTGGGGACTTTCCATTGACTTTCATTCATACTGCATTTATTTCTATGGTCTTACCCTGATCATGTCCCAACCATTACCAACACCAATCAAACCCAAACCTAACTTTAACTAACTCCCTATTTCTTACTAGTCATTGTTAACCAACACAAGTTTGTATTTCTATCCATATTATGACTTAATATTTGCTTACTTTCATTTTAGTAACTAACTTTTGACCTAGCCCTAACAGTTATTATTATAGTCTTAACGTTAACCTGAAGTGAATTAACACCAGTCCTCTAAACTGAATCCCTAACATTAAAAACAGGGGTCCACTACATTGGGAGCAGCATTTGGTCCCCACAACATAAACAGGACCCTTATAAGGTTGGCAAATACACCAAAAATGCTCCCAAATAGGTAACATCAACAAGTCCACAAAGGTAGAAATTATATAATTAATGATTATTGTTTAAAGAAAATTGATATTTACATCAGTCTGGTAGTATATAAAATTTTGATTCACCTCTTTGTCAAATCATAGCTTGATGAACCATTTTTTGGAAGACATTCATAAATCAGTCAGTCAGACTATTACCAGTCTTGTAGAAGGGATAATTGACAATAATGTCACATCCTTAATACATGAAGTAGGCTAAACAATCTCAGTAAGACATACTCCAATGTAACACATGATTCTCATCCTCCAATCTCAAGAAATGTAACAATTAGTACAAAACTATTGACATCTGTTAGGGGAATAGGGAGTGAACAAAACCACAGTGAGAGCCATTATCCACAAATGGAGAAAACATGCAACTACTGTGAACATTCCCCGGAAGGGTTAGCCTACCGAAATTACTTCAAAGAATGTCAAAATCACTCATCCCGGATGAAACATCTAAACTGAAAACACCATCTAAATCACTGTAGGCTTCAATTTAGAATATTGCATAACTTAATGAGCCAGCAATAAGAAAGAAACTGAGCAAACTTGGAATTCATTGGAGACATGCATGGAAAGAAAACAATGGGGACCAAAAGAGGTCTGTTTGACTTTTGCCAAAAAAACATCTCTAAGGTCCCCAAGTCTTTGTAGACTAAAAAGGTATGGATAGGGCTTTTTTTATCTTGTCAAGTCTAGCATAAAACAGACAGCATTGTGGGTAAGAAAAGGATGAGGGGGAAATGCTGATACTGTGTTCTTTTTTTTTTTTTAGCAGCCTTTCAGGGTTTATGCTGCGTTCACACCGGGGGCAGCTGGCGCGACAGAAGCAGCGAGTTTACATGCAAAATCAATGGTTGACGCGCGTCAAGGCGCAGCAAAAGGTCCCGCGGCGCGTTTTGAGCAGCAGACGCAGCGCGTCTGAGCAGCTGAAGCAGCGTGTCGGGCGCGTTTTGGCATCTGACGCGCCGCAAACGCGTTGCTGCTTGAGATGGAAAAATTTAATTTTTGCTGCTCGACGCGCCGCGTCAACCAATCAGAGAAGCTGATCTGGGAGCTGGCTGGGAGACAGACACAGCGCTGATGACACAGACCGCTCTGATTACTCCTCTTAAACAGTTTATTAACGCATAATTAACTTAAAATATATACATCTGCCGGCAGAATATGTTGGCTTTTATTATTCTGGTGCCTGCAGATCGGATTATTTAGATGAAAAACACCTACCAGCCGCCGCGGTAAACCGCGAGGAGGCGACCCGTCCAGAGGCTACTGTTGAAGGGATTCCTTCTGTCGGCGCACCGTCGGTATGTGGGGGTCTGAGCGGCTCCGACAGAAATAACATTGGGAGACAGGATTGTAATCTGGATGAACTGACTGCACTGATTACGTTTTCAGGTGTATTTTCTCACTTAAAAACATATTAAAACTACTTTATTCCCACTGATCACAGCAAATATAGCTGCAAGGCAGAGAAAGGATAGTGAAGCTCCGCCCAACGCGCGTCAGAGCCACTTTTGCACCGCGCAGCCAGAGCAGCAAAGCTGCTTCAGCCGCGCGTCAGAACTCACTGGTACAAGCAGCAAAAATGAAGCAGCAGACGCGATTTTGCTGCTTTTGCAGCGTCCGGTCTGAACGTAGCATAAGTCTTAGTCTTGTAGGAAAATGTGCATTAATTTTATTCACAATTTAGTCTTTTCATATATAAGGCATACTGTCAGGTTTGGTCAGGTCAACTAAAGTATAAAAAGGTTTTGTCTGATTTTAGATTTTTATTTTTTTTTTTGGTGTCTGCTCGCTGTATATAAAGTACTCCTATAAATAGCAAGTCAATACAAAACAAACGCATGAATCACATTTTGTAAAAAACGTGAATAAATGTATTGAGCATCTAATTATTTGTTTAAAGGCATACATTTGACAAAATACTTAATTATTTGAATTATTTGAATAGTTTCCTCGGCTAATAAAATGCCTAAAACCTGATATTTAGCAAAAGTACAATAGTTATCTTACTTGGAGCTGAAGGCTGGCACAGCAGAAGAAATGCACATTTAATCAGTCGATTCCTCATCATCATTCTGTATTCATGAAGTTCCTACCTCTCTATTTCCCTGTCACTGACTCTTTTTCATGAGGAACTTGAAGATGTCAGAACTTTGGAGACAATCAATGTGTTCACAAGTCAAAATGATAAGTTATTAAAACAACTCATAACTAACTCTAAATAAATGGTCACCAATTAAATCTAAACCTTGCTGTCTTAATTATGGCAACAATCACCCAGAACCTCAAATATCAGTTGATCCACACACCTTATCACAGGACAGCTACCCATTTGGCATGATAACAAACCTATACGCTGCTCCTCTGCTTCCGTTACCATGACAGCCACTGCTGTGCTAAATATGCTACCCCCAGCTACCATGATAACATTCTATACATGGCACAATTTTCTTTATCATAAAACACTAAAATCAGAGACAGCTAAACTTTATCTCTTTGTTTTAACGTCACACTTCCTGTCCAACCACATCACTGCATTTTCTACTGTAACTCACGCCACTTTTGAGCTAATGTTAGAGTAACCAACCCAATTTTAGCCTGAAGTTAACAGGACTTTACATTGCAGGACTATTAGCATAGAGAGCCTTAAGGTGCTGCTGTGATATTTTCCCTCATTGTTTATGTCCACATTATCTGCCTTCTATCTCTAAAATAGATTTGATTTTTTTTTTAACAAATCATCCGTAAACTAGATCCACAGGACCCTCTGTGGTGTCCAATCACCCAGCGCAAGTCAGTGGAGGCCGGGGCCAAATAAGCACAAATATAATAGAACATTGTTAATCCTTGAGCTTTTGATTGATCGATTAGATGCATAATAGGCAGAAACAAAATTTCCTTGCTGAAGGGGAGGGCCTTTTCACCTCAGGACAAACCATGATCACTAATTGGTCAGTTGATGATGAGGCTCTAGGATTGTTTGAAAGATGGTGTCACATCCGTTATCATTGTGGTAACGGGGAAAACTAAACTGAAATTTCATAATGAGGTCACAGCGGTACCATGCTGGGTATTTTTGTCTTCTTACTGAACTCACGATTATGTTGATCCACTTTACACATATGTATTTCTTTATTAGCTTAGTAAAGTGTTACAAATTGAATTAAAAGAAACCTCATTCAGTCATTTCAGCTGCAAAGATTGCACTCAATCGTATTGTTCCAAAGAACAGTCTAAAATCATAGCTTGTGTTATTTTTCACTGCTTGTTTTGTGTCTGGTTTTCTGTGTAAGCTAATATTTTGTTCTTTCCTGATGCAAAGCCTACATGACATGAAATATTTCCACAGGTGTTGGCCCAGAAAGCTCGAGACGGTAAACTCTTACCTGAGGAGTACCAGGGAGGCTCATTCAGGTAAACACAAGCTTTTGTTAAAAAGGAGGAATGTATGTAATACTGTTCCTTTTTCCTCTTTTCTCTGGAGTAACTGTTTTAACTGAGCAAAGCCAAGCTTACATTATACTTTTATGAAACAACACTGTCGCATTTTTTTTCTGCCTATCAGCGAGACCATAACTTTCCTTAGTAGTCAGCATAATTAGCTTTTATGGCTTCATTTTGGCTTCACAGACTGTGCGTATTTTCTTCATATTTTACATTTTGTGTGGTCTTAAACTGAATGTGGTCTTGGATGACAAGTTATGGTGCTGTCATTGGAGAAACATTAGGAGTTTTTTTTTCTCCAGCCTATTTGAATTAATGGTGTCATTTACACATTAATGGGGTGTCTTTGTCAGACAAGAACAATGAATCTGTGTAGAGATGTAGCCCTCCTTGTCCTGCTGTGACTGAGGATATATTGGGGTGGGCTCTTTTATTCGTTTTATTTCATCCTAGGAGCAAAAGCTTTCATTAAGCCAAACAGCTCTGAGGCCTCTGTGGAGGCTTAATAAACAGTGTCCAGAATATCGTCAGTCTACTGCTGGGACCGTCAGCTTCTTGACTGTTCATCATTCCCTTAAGAACAATAAATGTTAAAAATATTCATTTTTCTTCTTCTTCTTACTGTTTTTTTTTTCTCCTTTTTATTCCACCTGGGGACAGTATATCTAACTTAGGGATGTTCGGAATCAGTGGTTTCAGCGCCGTCATCAACCCCCCTCAGGCCTGCATCCTTGCCGTCGGCACCTCCAGAACTGAGCTGCGACTGAATGAAGAAGACCAGACGCTGCGTACACAACAGCTTATGACAGTTACATTGTCCAGTGATGGGCGGCTAGTAGATGATGAATTAGCCTCCAGGTTTCTTGATAAATTTCGTTCCAACCTTGAACAACCACAGCGTATGGCCCTTGCCTGAAAGAAAAACGTGAGTTTGAAATGAAAATTGGAAGGTTAGAAATACAAATCCTTTAAAGACAAAACCTGGTTCTTGTTTTCACAACTACAGACCTCTTAAATTATAGATTAGAATTGCATTAGTTAAAGCCTACAAACTGGTATTGTATATAATAAAAACTGACTGGTTATCACCTGGTTGGACTTCTGAGTCAGTTAATCACAATGGTAACAGTGTCTCTGGTAATTAGGAAGGTCATCCCCCACACAAGCATTGTACATAGAATACCTAAGAACATACTTATCAGTTTATGTCCCGTTAAAAAGGGAAAATCTCAGAATGGACTTTTATCAATATTTATTACTGGTCTGTGGCAATACAGTTTTCACTACAGTCTATTAACTGTAGTGCTGTTACTAAATTTACAAACGTATTGAGCTGTTATTTTTAATACTTTATTATTTAAAATAATTGTCACTGACGGGTTCTCTAAGTCCAAATTTAATTGAACTTTGGTTTTGTGTCATTTAAGTTTCAATAAAACATTGTCTTCAACCTTTACGTCTTTGTGATTCATTTGAACATGTTTCCTTCACGATTCTGACACAGTGTAATTGTAGAGCCGCCTTCAGCCATCTTAGTTTGAATTAAATCTAAATCTATTACATAATTGGCCAATTAGGATAACTTGTCAAGCTCAGTAGATTGGGTCAAGTGTTTTCTGACAGATGTGTTTCTGCTGTAAGCATTGGCTTAGCAGATGTTAGTGAATAACTGCATCAGTACCAGTTTTTCTAAGTTAATTAAGAAAATTAAAAAGCAAGATATGCATTTGATTCTCTTTAATATGCCTCATGCTGCATAAGCACTGCTCCCATTACAGGAGTGAAGTATCAGCTTTAGCAGTTTGATAAAATAACATCTTTATCCTTGTAATGGCTAAAGTATATGGTTGTATTTTGGCCCATTAATCATTTTTGAGGTTTCTAGATTTCTTATTTAAATTATATATTACCTTAAGGAAGTTTGCAGTTGGTCCAATGCTACCCCATGTTTCTGCAGCCCTTTATACTCACCACTTTACAAAGAGAGGAAGAAGCAGAGAACATTTTGCTCTGTGGTTGCTGTGGGGTGGTTTAAAATTCATCACTAAGGCAGACAAGGACATGGGCACAGGGTAATTCAGAGGAAAGTTTTGCAGGGTTATATTAACAATTGCCAGAGGCCAGTCATTTTCTACGAAAGGTCCAAAGATGTATGTTGCCTTTGTTAAGAGTTGCTGAGGAAAAAGCTTCCTTGTGGAAATCAAAACAAAAGAGCAAACCTTAATGTTCTCCATGTCTCATTTATATACTCTGCCTTAAGTATCCTTCCCCCTGTTTGGCATACATTTTATTACAGACCCTCTTTACTTAGAGGTTTGTTGCAGAACATGAACAGTTTACAGATGTTCATTTCTAAGAGAATCTCAAGTAGCTAAATATTTTTGACTGATTTTATATTGGAGAGTCTGTGCAGTGTAAGAGATGGGCCTCCATTTCAAAGTCAGCCTAGTAATGATACACTGTTTGTCTTAAACCCCATCTGATCAGCTCTCAGTCTCAGTCCACCTAATCTCCTCTTTCATCTCCAGGCATCTTCTTCTCATTGAATATAAATGTGTTGCTTCTCCGTGAGCTGCCTCATAATCCTGCTTCTGCAACATTTACATATTCATCCTGATACGGCATGTTCCAGAGATCGAAGGTGTCTTTATACCGATTCATTTCCAAGTAGTTCCTTAAAGTGGTTGAAGCAAAATGCGGAAGGTGCAACTAAAGCAACTGTCCTTTTTTTTTTTTTTTTTTGCAGGTTGCAGTTTTGTTTTTTTTCCTGCAACAAACCTTAGCAGTACAACGGGAAGGAAGGACAGTTGAACACCACATGTTAACATGTTTGTAGATGGAGTAATTTGCATCATATTTGAACTACTTCTTTACTAAATTTGTATTATTTTAATCAGATTTTTTTTTTTTTTTAGTATGAGCATGTATCCTTCTTTAGGATAAATAGCAGAGCAATGCTGTTTTGAATTTAAATAATCACTATTTTACCAAATAAGCTTATTAAGCTGGTGAAATCTTACCATTTGGTCACATTTTGTTATGTTTCATTTTGCTATCCATTGGTGGAGTTCTGTGGAGCACCTGAAATATACCACTCTAAATAACAACTCTGCATAAGCAGCAATATGCTGTGGGTTGTGACATTTCCTTTGGCCTCTCTGTCACAGTATGACATTTACTTCACGGATGGCCGCCTGCCAATCTGTGGCCAGCGATCCTGTTATAAGTAACAGCTGGATAAGAGAGCTCCAAGGTGGAAATAATCGCATTTGTTCCCACCAAGGTCCTTTTATGAACAATACACGGGTTCTGGAAGATGGTGCCAAGGCTCGGGCTGGGCAGCGTGGTGCAGAAAGATAGGGGCTGTTGCTATGGAGACCAAAATGGGATGTGTTTGTACCTCAGGTGCTTAGGCGTGCATGTGGTTTTGTTTTATAGCATTTTGAGGATGTTGGTCAAACAAGTGAGGTGGATTTTTCTAGAGGGGTGTGTGTGTGTGAAGAGTCACATCTTTTTAAAGACAAAGAAGATAAGCCCATCCCAATACTGTATATTCCCTTCCCCACACTCCTGTCATGGTTTTTGAATGACCACCAGGGTTTATAAATGGCTGGTTCTCATCTTCATCTCTCACGATCAGCTTTGTGCAACCGTTGTCGACAGGATTTCCTCTCCTCTCCCCTCTTTTTTTTTCTAAGCTATCAGGGTTTTTCCGTAATGCCTCTATATCTTTTCTCTATCTGACTTTTTCTATTTTTATACAATGATGTATTTTCCTTGAATTGGGTGCTCATGCTGAAAGGAAGCACGGGTCCGAAACCAAGCAACCACAGCAAACTTTTTACTGGTGAATTAACTGAGGCGTATCTCCATCCAAAATCTAGCATGGATGACATAAAGCATTCCTTTTCTTTTTGCAGTACACTGTATCACCAGCTTAACATGCTTTCTCTGCCATCCCGGCAGCCAAATTGAAGAGAGGCTCTTGTTTTGTTGTTGTTGCAAAGCCCTGTCTTTTGAAGAAGTCCAGTCATGCTCTCATGACGCAGAAAGGGCTCATTCTGCTCCAGACACAGAGGCAGAGCTTCATCAAATGTACAAAAAAAGAAAAACACATTTCAAACAAGTCTTTCTCACTACATCACAGACTACACCAGGCAGCAGCATTGATAAAAGAAAAAAAAAATCTTCTACTATCTTATGTTTATTCAGCAGGAAGTATTAACAGGAAGCTTGAGAGTGAGAGCAAAAACATCTGTAGAAAAAAAAAATATGATTCTGGCTACTCAAAGAAGATCAGAGTATTTTTTTATGTTTGTAGAGTTGGTTCAATAATCATTAATAGTTTGATTTTCACTTTTTTCATTTGTGGAATTATGTCTCACCATAGTAGCATTTGAGTCCATGCCAAAACTAAAATAATCAATAGTCAAAATAAGGATGCAGCCCAAAGTTGCCATAGCATTAAAAACAAACACCTTTCATGACACAAATGACTATCAAAGACAAAGATAGTGATAGTGATATGTCTACTTCAAATGTCAGATCATAAAGTTAAGATTTATGCTGTATTTTATGTTTTAAATAGTAGAAAAAAAGTCAGCAGAGATGTTGTCAAAGAGTAGAAGCATGGAGACATAATTGGTCGGCTTCTTATAACTTCTTCTTATAACCCGCCATATTAGTAAATGACAAATTATATTGAATTGTGTTCATGTAGATAGGGTAATAACTTCTTATTTAGTTCTTATTAGCATTGTTACTTAGAAACAAAATTTTCCAAGCAAACAAGTTGTTTCCATTGATAGCTTTTAAATTATAACAACTATAAAGTGTTTCCTACGGGGGAACTTGATGATAAATGACGACACAACCATTCAACATCTCATTTGACAAGAAAACAATCCTTTTTTGCTAAAAAAAAAAAAAAAAAACTGAACCTCTCCAGTCGTTCCAGTCAGCTGTGTGATCTTAATTTGACAGTGATATACCGATATATACCAGAACCTGGTGCCTCCAAAATTCACTATGTGCCATAAAAGTGTAGTTTGCGATTATCTTCCTCAAAAAAAACAATCAAGATCATTAAGCTGCTATATAAAATACACCTGTTTAGTAATTTGTTAACCCTTATTGATAGGGAATCAATAAATCATATGGCAACCATCCTCCTGGAAATAGGCCAAAAAAATCAAAGACTGTCTATCCAAGAGGTTAATGGGATTAACATAGAATAGAAATCCCCTTTATTATCCGTAAATTTGGAAATTATGTTGTTTCAAAGGCAAAGCAAAAAGTTAATGTAACCTTTCAGGTAAACACAAGACTTTGAGAGAAATCTATGAAAGAACAAAAAAAATGAATGCAAATGTTTCAATGGACTGTGCAGAAAAAGAAAACCCAAACATATAAGATAAATCAAATAGAAAAAGATAAGACAATGTCATTATTGGAATGGTATACCCAGATTAGGCTGTGTCATGCCACAAAGTTTAAATCGACTCTTAACGGTTTCTGGTAAATATGTCCAAACAAAGGCTAACAAGGTGTACCTGATGCCGTGGCTAGTACTTTCAGTATTTTTAGTGGTTTTGGTTTTAAAGCACAATATTAGCCTGTTAAACACTTAGATACAATATCCACCAACCAGCTTAGGAACCTGTAACACTCAGAAATGACAAATCCTTGCAGACACCCTGAGGCCACTCTACTGTTGGTCATCATTGTATCACAAGTTATGTGCAAACATCCAATCATCACACTCTGTACGAATATGGGCATCTCCCAATGTCTCACTTTTTAAATTCCATTGACTTCACTGGCATAAGGGGAAAAAGCACGCTGTGTCAGAGGAATGCTGAGGAAGTGCTATTAGTTTAGCCGCAAGGACTCCCAGACCACAAGGAAGTCTGATGAGGACGCATGTGTCTGTTTTCACCATGTAACCATGATGGAAAAGTTTCTTCTTTTCTTTTTTTTAATCGGCTGACCTAGAAGCCTCATGTCTAATATTGCTTTCAGACATGGCCAGTTTTTTTCAGGGGTATTTTTATTACCCCCAGTCATCCAGGAGTGATAACCAGATATTACCCGTAAAGCACTAGTGATTTGTTTACTGTAGCAACCAGGCTGGTGTATCCACTAAAATTAACAAAGATAATTTATTAATCTTATCCTTTTCCATAGCTTCCCACAAGACTGCCTCCTACTTAGATATCAGCTACTGCATCACATAAGATCCTAAATGCATTGAAGTCAATCCAGGGTTGGTTTTAATATACTTTTGTGATCTAGACTTCTTTTGTTGACTCAAACTCCAATTTGTTTCCTTCTTAAAAAAGAAAACAAAGGTGATCTAATGATTTATTCCGTGACTCTATAGAAACGCTGGTAATCCTGCAACTGTTTAGATTTTGAACGAAAGAGGAACTTATCACAGACAAAAAAATCCAGATATGGTATTACTAATTTTTTTAGCATGTGTTTGTTTGTTGTACCGTTTCTATGGTGTTGCTATGTGAGCTTGAAAACAGGAAGTGAACAGCACCTACGGTATAGTGGGGTGGTGTGAAATGTGTTGTTCCTCATTTTCTAACCTCTACTTGAATTAAGTAATAGAGAGTAAATGAAATATAGACTTAGATGGCAAAGTAATATGCTACAAGTGTCTGGATTGATATTACTTGATGCTAAAATAAGCTGACTATATGAAAACTTAGAAGGTTAACAGAAAACGACTACCAAAAATGTCCTGGTTAGAGGTACCAGCCTGAACAGATTGCATGTTCTCTCTATGCATGTGTGGATTTCCTTTGGGTGCTATGGGTTCCCACCACAGCACAACAAAACATGAATGTTAGTTGAAATGGTTTCTCTAAATCAATATGTGTAAGTGGGTGCATGGTTGTTCGCACTGTATTACAGTGCGCTGTGACAGATTGGTGACCTGACTAGGATGTACCCCACCTCTCACCTTATAGCCATTAGAGGAAGGAAGAAAACCCGAAAGACTCTGTAAGGGTGAGTGAGTGAACAATGGATGAATGTGAACACACCAGGTATGTTTCATGCAAAAGGTTAGCATTTAATGGCCATTGCTAAGCAGGACAAAGAATCCATGAGGATTTCTCTTTCAAAACATTTTGGTAGAGCTAGTGACATCTTAACCCCTTTGAAAGACAATTTTAAATAAATAAATCAAGACTAGTGTCAGGGAACCCGAAAGTGTCTCTTCTACAAGGGCAGTCAATAAAAGCTTAAAAATGCTTGATTTCAAATAAAGTAATTAATATATTTTCAAATATTTGAGGAAAAACATTTCAAAGTAATATCTACATTAATATTCGTCGATAATCAGTGAGAGATCACCGGAGCCTCTATAAAGGATATTTAATGGAAACATTTATTATTCTTTAAAGTGACTAAATTATCTTAGTCATAGAAGTTATAGACTTAATGCCTTAAATTTAATGTAAGAATCTGTGTTAATGTTGCATACAGGATGACGATCAGGTTTCTCCCCCACGATTAATCATTAATCGGTTAAAAACTAAAAAAACTAACAAAAAAGCCTTTAGATAGCAGCTATTACCAGAACTCAGTCTGTTATCAGTAAAATAGATAAGCTGGTAGCGTTGCTCTGCCAACATTTTCCCAGTATGGAAACTGGAGGTCAACATTTGCCTGTGTAAAAGTGTAAAAAGCAATCAAACCTTTTTTTATTTTTGTAAAATGTAGCCATATTTGTACAGGGAGAAACTACTTAAGATGCACTAACCAGTCCATAAAAAACAGCTTCATCTAAATACTGGATGCCACAATAGTGATATTTTCTAACTGTAGTTGAGTGCTGTTTGCATAGCTGCAAAGTTAGTGGCCATATTAAGCCATTAGGCATGTTTTCAACGTCTATCAGTAGGGAAATAAAAGAATAACATAAACTAGTCATGGTTTCATATTCCATGTTGTTACTTGAGGTATTACGCAATAGCATGCAAACAGCAGCTGGGAGATTCCAGAAACCCGAGTTGACACTTGCTATTACCTGATGAAGTGAAATTTTAAACCTGGAATAAGAATTGAGAGAACTTTCTCATGATAGAGGTGGTTGTTAAGATTATGTAGATTTGTGTGCTTTAGGTCATTTTTATGTAATTCTAATGCACAATGAAAAAAAAAAAAAAGAGTTTTGCCGTAATTTCATCTTTGCAGATGGGGGGCTTTTTTTTTTCTTTCATTTGTCCAAAAAACTGAAGTTGACAGAAAATACTTAAAAGTCACTATAACCAAGGTTTTCACCATACAATCTCTAGGTATGCAATATATTGAACCTTGAAGCAGCAAAAGACCCCACAGGATGAAATCCCTGCCAGACAAGAGCAAGAAACTCCTACATTATACACAGGCTCAAAAAATGGGGTGAATAACAGATTACAAAATGTTCCATGGTCCTATGAGTTCCTATTTTAGCTGCAATATTCAGATTATTTGGAAGATACTAGATTAAGACATGATCCAAACCTGACCTCTGCCAAAAGTTAAGACTGGTAGTAAGGAGATCGTTTCTGCCTCAATCTACTGTAGGGCCCTTTTTAGCAAATGCATTTCCAAATTTCACAATTGACCTAAGTAATATTTCCCGTTTTTGATCTCATAAACCCTGATGATTATATGTCCCAAATCTCATCACACTGGTTGAGCATAACAATTGGTTCACTGTTTCCAATTACTTTCACTGTTAACAGACCTTAATCTAGCAGAGCACCTTTGTGATGTTGTGGACCAGGAGATTTGCAGCTGATAAAATGTGAGCACCTGTGTGATGTCATAATGTCAAATATCTCAGAAATTATGTAAGTAATTAAAGCCATTCTAAAGCTAACAGGATATCGACCCATTGTTTGCAGGATGTGCCTGGTAAAGTGAGTGTATCTGCCCCATTTAAAAGCATTCTGTTTACCCAACAATATTAGGTGAAGCTGACTTTTTTAAATACACAGAAAACCCATTAAGACCTGGCCTGAAAAGATCTGATAAGTTAATAACATAAAAAAGAGTATACCAAAGACCAGATGGCTTTCTGAAACTGTATCTGTGTCTAAAGCATAAATAAAGGAAATGGGGGTGTCAGGAGATAGAATGGAAATGGGGTAGATAGACAAGGACAAGTCACGCTGAAGGGGAAATAAAGGGGAGAGAAAGTAGAGGGGTGGGGCAGCTGGGGAGGTGGGGCAACTGTGGGAGAGGCAGAAGGGTGTGTGTTCACTTGAACCACTCTTCCTCTTCTATGTGCATGCCACCAGCCTCTGTTGTCTCTCAGGCAGAGAGGAGAAAGTTGATTCTAATTCGGAGTCACTTCCAGCAGTGTTTAGACACACAGTTTATATTTCTTCTTCTGTCTTTTTTATTTTTTACTTAGGTCTACTAATTTACCCTGCTTCATAGACAGACACCATCCAGCCATAGCTGCTGGTACTGTAGAGGAAAGACAGGACACAAATAGGACTGTTACACACCTTTATACCAAGCTGCTCACCCAGCCATCACCAGCCAGTTGGTAAAGATGTGGACTTTTTTCTTAGGGGTCATATTTGGAATACTGGCCTCTGGCAGGACGGATGAAATTCAAGGTGAGCACTTTATGCTTTTACCAAAATAATTGCTCTTTGCTTTTTTAAATTTTTTTCATTTTATGTGTGTTGGCATTAATGGTAATGCTCCTTCATATCCGCTCTTTTAACAAGACAGTATTCCTTTGTTTCTTGTGAGGCAAGCAAAAGACAGATAAGACTGCTCATTAAAAGAGAACCCTGAGTGAAAGACGCTACTGGCTGCAGCTTGTAGAATGGATCAGTTGATGCCGGCAAAAGCATGTGCTACTCCAGACAGGCTTACGTCTGGCATAGTCTGAGACGGAGGCATGATAGACACAAAGGAGACTGCCTTTATTCTTCCACACTCTGATTCAGACACGTGTTTGCATTTGAAGCTGTTCGTTTAAGGTTTTTTTTTTTAATGAAATGTGGATATGTTAGAAACAGATGTGTTAATTCAGCATTACTTATTACTCTTCAGCCTTTGTTTAATGTTGTTTAATGTTGTTTCTCAGTTAATCTAGGTTTCTGCTTTTTTATTCTCTCCTTCTTACTCTTTGTGTCTCATATACCGGTAATTTTAGTGGATTTGTTGCTAGGAGCGATAGTCTCTGGAGGTTTAGTTGGCTTTGAATCAAACAGGTCTAGGGTCTGTCTGCCTTCTTCCCTGAGGAGTCTGTGGTCTTGTTGTTCACAAATATCTTATTCTGGCTATTTGCCAAAGAGAATATAGTCTAAATCTGTATATTTGACCAGGGAAAACTAAAAGGAAACATATTAAAGGAAAAAATTAGAGAATATACAGAAAGCTCAGGTGCAGAGTGTGAGACAGGGAGGGGGATCCTTTTACCCCTAAAGACAGACCATTTTTGCTTCCCAAGGATCCTTATATAGTAAGAAGTGTGGCTTTGTGTTTGTTAGTTGTTAATAGTGATACTTCATCTATGTCCTGACTTAACCTCTGAACTCGTCTTGTTAGGAGAATTATCCAATACTTTTTGCAAGCATAATGATGCTCCTTATTTACAAAAAAAGGTTGATA